CACAACTTAAGAACAAATCTGTGCGTATGAACGGTTCTTGCACGAGGCCCACTGTGTGCAACCAGGAAGTAAACTCTGGTCATGTGATAGCTTATTCTAAATCTAATCCAAACACTGTATTCTTTTTAGATTTACTGAACAACAATTGAATAGTTACTCAGTAACATTTTAGGAGCCCTATAGACAAAAATAAATTGTATGGTCACTATTTTGTCTGACAGGGTTAAATGTTAGTGTAAGTACTGGTGCAGGACAAACCCAGGTCACAGTCGAGCTAAAAAAAATGGAACAAAAGGTTTATTTTGAAAAAACACAAAAAAGCTGATGAAGTAGCTCCAAATACTCACAAAAACTCTGGGGAGAACAGGCACGAGGGAGACGAAGCACAGGACTGAAACACAATGGCCCCACAAAGACAGGAGGACAAGACTCAGAATATAAAGCAAACAAATTAAGAGTAAATGAGAAACACCTGGGGAGAAACACAAGGGTAATCAGCAGAACGAGCTGAGGCAGCTGAGCTGAGAAACACAGGGGAACAAAAAACACTGAGAAAATAAAGACAAAATCACAGATCATGACCGTTAGTATTTTAGACCTAACATGCCGTTCTGACTCGGTGCTAACTTTCTGTGTTTCAGTTGGGTGTTTCTTTGGGAAAAGGCCTACCAGGTGAGAGACACAGCCATCGAGTCTTCAGTTATGACCAAAGTGAAAGGTTTTGGAGTGTACAACAACCGGGTCATGGATGTTGCAGACTACGTCACTCCTACACAGGTATGATGGACAGATGAGTGGACCAAGGCAATAGAATGATGGATTGACAGTGACATGCACTTTCTGCAGGGAGGGTCYGTCTTCTGCATCATCACTAAGATGATTACCACAGAGAACCAAGTCCAAAGAACATGTCCTGAGGTCAGCTCCTAATAYTGTCACTTCTGTTGCTTTACTCCATTAGACTCAAACAGTCCAATCATTTTTAAACTGTCATTGTTTACTTCCAGGTAATAGATAAAATAACCTGTTTGTTTGTTTTTTCTGTTGTGTGGTCAGGTTGACTAAATAAGCTGAGCAACACATTCCTTTAGGATTTACCACTGCTAATAGACTATTTTAA